TCCTTTCTCTATAATAGACGTGTCAACCGAATTCACCATGGACAATGATAGGTGGAAACACACGCGTGTGATTGGCACCGGCGAGAGCTTTATATGTATCACAGATGCATGAGTCAACTTAGCCTTCTATAGATAGAGAACAGACTTGCTTAATTAGACCTGCTTTCTGATTCCAGCCCAGTGAAGCACCCCAACTTCTCTTTCGGGTAACTGTCAGCAGCACAGCAGTAAATGTCAACACGAAGCAGATTATTACTGTAGATCACGCAGGGAGAACAAAGGGTAAAATATTTAACTGCAGCCGTGTTTGACTCTATTCAGCTCAGTGAGAAAACACGAAGTCATTTTCAAGGTCCACCATTTCTTATTTCTTTTCAGTCAGGTCAAGTGTCCATGCTTTCTAAGTCCGTTTTCTGGCTAATGAAAAGAAAATAGGACTCCACGAAGTCTCCTGTCTACCTACTCCAGGGCTTCTGTGAGGATCAAATGAGACGAGGCACAGGGAAAACACTTCGCAGACATTTGGTAAAGTGTACAATGTTTCCACCTGCCTATAAAGCAAGTCGTGTTCCTGGGCTGAAGAAACTGCAAGGAGGCTAATCGCCAGGGAGAGGAAGCTGTGTGTTGCTATGTGACGTCATTACCTGGCACCTACAGCAGCTGTTTCCGGGCGGGGCCGGGCCGGGCCGGGCTGTGGGCTGCATTTTGCACTGTGAGTTCTTGGCAGCATCAGCTGTCACTCTGAGGTGGTGGCAGGGCCTGTGTCCCACTTGGGGGAAGCTGAGTGTTTCTTTGAAGGCACAAGGTCTGAGGTGCCATTTCTCTGTCAATGGCCGGTGCACATCATGGCAGCTCCTACATTGAGCGTCTTCCCCTCGGTGGTCAGTGGGCATCATAGCGACCAGTTGGATGCTTAGCATATTACCCTTTTATATAAGGAAAAGGGGGAGAGAGAGAGAGAAACATCAGTGATGAGAGAGAATGATGGATCGGCTGCCTCCTGCACCCCCCACTGGGGATGGAGCCCACAACCCGGGCCTGTGCCCTGACCAGGAATCGAACCGTGACCTCCTGGTTCCTAGGTCGACACTCAACCACTGAGCCACACTGCCTGGCTGCTATTACCTTTTTAAGACATATTAGGTATGTTTAAAAATTGTGGCAGAATGTAAAATGTGTCATTTTCACTGTCGCTTGGTGTGCAGTTAAGGGCGTGCTTTGAGAGGGTGGGAGAGTAGACACGGGCGCTGTGGATGGGTGGCTCCAAGGTGCTGGAGGACAGAGTGAGGGACCGGGCGTGGGGCGGGGCGGGCAGGCCCAGGGGAGGGGCGGAGGGCGGAGGGCGGCATCCAGTGAGAACAGACCCCGCGCTGGTCTGAGGTGTCAGTGCTGGAGCCCTGGGCGGGCGGCAGGCGGAGGAGGCAGAGGCCTGGCAGTGCCGGGGGCAGGGGCAGGGCTGAGCTACGGCAGGGGTGGGCCTGTCAGGCCTGAGGTTCAGGAACACGGGGGTGAGCGAGGGCAGTGACAGGCTGGGCCGGGCTGCCCCCTAGGAAGGAGGTGGCTGTTTTGAGGCCAATGTCCCTCCTCGCCGGTCCTCCGCCTTTTGGGTGAGGTCGCGCCGGCTCCCGGAAGAGCACGGTTTGCCGCCCCGTTTCATTTACGCTCACGTTCGGGATGTCCAGGTCACAGGACTTCTGTCCCCGAAACATCGGGCCGGGGGGGCCGCGGAGAACGCAGGCGAGGCCGCGGCAGCCCCCGAGGTGTGGGGGGACCGCGCGTGCTCAGCACACCCCCGGCCGTCCTCCTGGGACCGCGGTGTGGCCCGCCCAGCTGTGACTCAGAGTGTCAGGCTGTCCACGGAGCGTGCGACCTGGCGGCCGGGACACCTGCTGAGCCGCCTCGTAAACACTCGCAGCAGCAACGGCCGTGCCTCGGCCCGCGGCCCGGGGCCGGGCCGGTCCCATCACCTGCCAACGTGCCGGGCCCAGAGGCCAAGGCACTCCCACGCCGGGCACAGCGGGTAAACATTTGTGCGGAGGACAGGACGCCGTGTCCGGGCCTGCGGGCCTTATCGGCAGGCCCCGGCCCGGAGTCCCGTCTGGGCCTGTCCCAGTTCCTCCGGCCGCTGCTTATCTGTCGGAGGGAGCGTTCTGTCCCCGTCCGGCCCTTTCTCCTGGAAAGGAGAGCACAGGGTGTTAACAAACACGCCCGCCCCCCCTGCAGCCGGAGAGCAGCCAGCGAGGTGTTTGCTAGAAAGATCTGACAGCTGTGAGCAGCGGGAGCCCGGGCACCGCGCCTGCGAGGGAGCACGGGGCGTGCGCCAGCCCGTTCCCGCCGCCCCAGCCTGGCGCCCGTGCAGACGCTGTCGGTGGACGTGGTGGAACGCACGAGCTTTTTTATTTATTTTTTTAAAATATATTTTATTGATTTTTTTTTTACAGAGAGGAAGGGAGAAGGAGAGAGAATTAGAAACATCGATGAGAGAGGTCATCGTGTCAGCTGCCTCCTGCACACCCCCCTACTGGTGATGTGCCTGCAACCAAGGTACATTGCCCTTGGCCGGAATCGAACCGGGACCCTTCAGTCCGCAGGCGGCGCTCTATC